GTGATGTGTATGTTAGTGATGTGTATGTTAGTGATGTGTTAGTGTTGGTTATGTTAGTGATGTATGATGTTAGTGATGTGTATGTTAGTGATGTGTGTTAGTGATGTGTATTGTTATTGATGTGTATGTTGAGTGATGTGTATGTTAGTGATGTGTATGTTAGTGATGTGTGTGTGTGTTAGTGATGTTTATGTTAGTGATGTGTATGTTAGTGATGTATGTTGAGTGATGTGTGTGTTAGTGATGTGTGTATGTTAGTGATGTGTATGTTAGTGATGTGTATGTTAGTGATGTGTGTGTTAGTGATGTATGTTAGTGATGTGTATGTTAGTGATGTTGTATGTTAGTGATGTGTATGTTAGTGATGTGTATGTTAGTGATGTATGTTAGTGATGTGTGTGTTAGTGATGTGTATGTTAGTGATGTGATAGTGTATGTTAGTGATGTGTGTGTTAGTGATGTGTGTTAGTGATGTGTATGTTAGTGATGTGTGTGTTAGTGATGTATGTACAATGTTATGTGTATGTTAGTGATGTGTGTTAGTGATGTGTATGTTAGTGATGTGTATGTTAGTGATGTGTATGTTAGTGATGTGTATGTTAGTGATGTGTATGTTAGTGTTAGTGATGTGTGTGTTAGTGATGTGTGTGTTAGTGATGTGTATGTTAGTGATGTGTATGTTAGTGATGTGTGTGTTAGTGATGTGTATGTTAGTGATGTGTATGTTAGTGATGTGTATGTTAGTGATGTGTATGTTAGTGATGTATGTTAGTGATGTGTATGTTAGTGATGTGTATGTTAGTGATGTGTATTGTTAGTGATGTGTATGTTAGTGATGTGTATGTTAGTGATGTGTATGTTAGTGATGTGTATGTTAGTGATGTGTGTGTATGTTAGTGATGTGTATGTTAGTGATGTGTATGTTAGTGATGTGTATGTTAGTGATGTGTATGTTAGTGATGTGTATGTTAGTGATGTATGTTAGTGATGTTATGTTATGATGTATGTTAGTGATGTGTATGTTAGTGATGTGTGTGTTAGTGATGTGTGTTAGTGATGTGTATGTTAGTGATGTGTATGTTAGTGATGTGTATGTTAGTGATGTGTATGTTAGTGATGTGTATGTTAGTGATGTGTATGTTAGTGATGTGTGTGTTAGTGATGTG